GATGGGAGATTTTCCCCAAGGACCTTTCTTTCACTCACAGAATCCCTATTTTCTGTCTGCCCCGCCCCCCCCAAACCTTTTCTTTTTGCTTCCCAGAGAGGGGGTTGCCTTTAGTTGCCTTTAGTTTTTTTGGCTGAAATGAAGCAAATCTCTGAGGGCCAGGCCAGTGCAGCCCAGCAACTGGCTCCTGAGACAAGCACGATGACATTGCACGAGGACCCACAGATGGCCCTCGGGTGTCTGCTTCTTTAACTGGTTGGCTGCCTTCCGAAGCACCCATCGGTTCTCAGGGACAGCAAAGGGAGGAGAGGTAGGCCTTTCTACCTGGAAGTTACATATGATGGTGGGTGTCACATGCCCGCACGGCAGCTGACATCAAAGGTGCCTCCCACCCCTCTGCCTTCCTTAGGCATCCCTTCATCAAGGGCACAGAACCACGCAGGTGGCTCGGAGGGCGTGATATGTGTTTTGGGTTTTTTTAACATGTAGTATTTTTTAAAAAATTATCCAAGCAATACATCTTCAACACAGCCAACTTAAAAACAAAGAACAGTGCTCGAAAGTCTATCACTCAGAGATCATTCCTGTTAAATTGTTATGTCCTGAGCCCGTTTTTGAAAAGACACGAAAGGTTCTCGTTGTACTGTGCAGACCCTGTTTCTAGCTGGACAAGATGGAGAAAACTCTTCAGAGAGTTTGTGTCAAGGTCCCTGGCACGCTTCCTTGGGGCCAGGCCAGCCCCCAGGACTCAGAGCCTTCCTTTGGGCGCCCCCGAGGATTTTCCTAACGTGGGTCTTTTCCCCAGGGCCATCCGCCTGACCTTGCCGCAGTTGGTGCTGGTGGACTCCTGTGACCTGCAAGAGCTGCTAACCCAGGCCAAGCTGCCCACGCTGTTGGGTCCTGAGGCACACTTGGGCAGAATCAGTGATGCCAACCCCAGGGTCGGAAAGGTAGCACGCGGGGCCACCAGGAGGCTGGAGAGGGTAGAAGGAGAGCAAAGAGGAAGGTTGGGGGCGCAATGGGGGTGGGAGAGGGGGGAGGAAGGAGAGAATATGCTTCGGGGCAGGAGGAAATGGGCTCCTCAGGGATGGGTGGCAGGCATCTCTCGCTCTGGCAGGATGTTCTCCTGTGCAGTACGTGTTTCTTCAGGCCAGGCCCTCCCCAGATCAGAGGGCATGGCTGGAGACCACGTGGTGGAACGTGAGGTGCCTGGAGCCCCTAGAGGATGTACCTCCTTAAACCTTGGGCCCCACATGCCTCACTCCCTTCACCCCAGACCCAATTCTATAGCACAGATCCTGTTTTAGGGAAGCACCCAGCAGGAGAGGGTGTTCCTTTGAAGCCATCGCCCTGCCCTTGTGCTGCGCTGAGGGAGGAAAGGGAGCCCCCACGGGCCTGCCCTTAGACCTCAGAGGGCTTGGAGCATCCGTGCTCACTCTGAAGGATGGGCAGAGGCCTACGCTCTCCTTTGAAGTAGCAGCCAAGTCTGCCAGGGGCAAGAGGGGCAGGTGGAGGCTGGACGCATTGGGATGAGCCACATATGAGCAGGCAGGCACTGCCCCTGCCCTGACTCCCTGAGGTACATGGCCCAGACTGCTGGACCCCTCCGTGTCCCGCCAGGTTGGGTTGTGCAGCTCCGACGTCCCTTTCCTCAGCTTCAGCCCCGCCTCACATTACTCTTTTACAGGTGCTCACCAGCATCCTTTTCGAACTCAAAGCCGATGAGGGCAAGCAGTCCCCAGAGTCAGCCCAGCAGCTCCCCGAGCCCGACGCCCTGCAGTTGACCCTCAACAGGCCATTCCTGTTCATCGTCCGTGAACAGCGAGCTGCCACCGTCCACTTCCTGGGTCGTGTGAATGACCCACAGTCCCGTGCATGAATCTGCCAGGGCGGAAGAGCATCCATCACCAGTCTTCAGCTTTTCCTTCTCCTAGTCTCCTTCGTGCGCGAGAGACGTCGTTTCTCCTTGGCAGCAGCGATGCTATGTAGAATGAGTAGCAGGAGCCTGGCAGCCCTGGACTTCCCAATAGCGGTTAGCTGTATTGTGTACTATGGTGCAGCGCCCAGGAATAGGGTTTGTGTGGTCTAACTTAGTTTAGAAACCAAAAATGGTTTCCTTTTTAACGAAGCACAGACATTGGGCTTTGAAATGAAAATAAAATTTTCATTACATTTGACTTAATGAGTCTGTGAGATTACATGATTGATATACAGCCTCAACAACACCTTAGTTTTTCTTTCATGTCCCTTTGAGAGTTTTGAAAAATCCCTTATGAGAAACATGAGCATTTGAACGGTTAGACTGTGAAACCTTGGTCCGGTTCGTTTTGTGTTAGAAATGAGTGCTATGTAGAAATAAGCAAAAAAAGGAGCTTTCAGCAGCAGAACAGTTTGTATATGTTAGCTCATAGGTGGTATTAACAGTGCTTTGGGAAATTCCATCCAAAATCCAACTCAGCGTTACAGTGCCACAAGTAGAAGCCGCATGTGGAAACTCCTATCCATAAGCAGTGATCGTTGAGGGCCATCATCAGGGCAATGGACAGATGGTCACCGGGAAGGGCACTGTCCCTCCTTGGCAACTGATACAGGGATTGGGCAGGCTGGCACTTATCCCCACTGGTGACATATATTTTACCAGGGGAGCAAAACATGCACAGAAACATCTGCAAAATACTTTCTGTTTCATGTTTCTGCCACCCGCCCTGGGTGGGGGAAGATCATCCCCTCCTAAACCTTAGACAAGTCTAGGTAAGAGCTGGATACCCAGCAGGCTCAGCAGCTGGTTGGTACCATAAAGATCACAATACCATAAAGATAACCATAAAGCACTTTATCCTCTTCCCTTCTGTAATATCAGAATAAAGATACTTACATATCTTTTAGTTACACCGTGCACTTTGAAGGTGATCAGGAGGTCATGCTTGGTAAAACAAGGAGACCACCAATGAGATAGAGTGGCATAGTGCGGCAAAAATGGGCTCGTAGCAACGATGAAAAACACAACCTTCCTCTAGTTCCTAAATGCTTCCTCCCCGCCCCCACTATCATGACACGAATTCGACCTTGCAAGTCTGGCTAGACCAGAGGATGTACACTGGTACAGATAGGAACTGGAAACACAGGGAATCCAGGGCGGATGATCCCTACAGGACCAGTGGTGTGAGTGGCGATACTGGGAAGGCAGAGGGAGAGTGGGTTGGAAAGCAGAACCGATTACAAGGATCTACATGTGACCTCCTCCCTGGGGTACGAACAACAGAAAAGTAGGTAAAGGGAGTTGTTGGACAGGGCAAGATGTGACAAAATAATAATTTATAAATTATCAAGGGCTCATGAGGGAGGGGGGAGCAGGGAGAGAGGGGAACAATGAGGACCTAATGCTGGGGGCTTAAGTGGAGAGGAAATGTTCTGAGAAGGATGAGGGCAATGAATGTACAAATGTGCTTTACACAATTGATGTATGTATGGATTGTGTTAAGAGTTGTATGAGCCCCTAATAAAATGCTTTAAAAAAATGGGCTCAAACATGGCAACAATTATGAGGCTAGCTCAGAACTGGCTAGTGTTTCCTTCTGTTGTACACTGTGCTGATAGGCATCAGATCAAACTCACAGTCCCTAATAACAACATGGAAGCAACAGCAACAGTGCCAGAGGTCGACTGGGCTGGAGATGATGATTTCAAAGCTTGGGTGAGATCCCTGGTGGCCCGGTGCTGAGGTCCATCAGGTGATCCATAGGGAAATTCAAGTGGGATGGTGGTAGGGAGACATGGCTGTTTCAGAAAAGGTGATTTCACTTATCTTGGCAGTTAAAACAGGAGGAGCAACTTGCCATTGGAAAAAAAGGCTTAATGTTAGTTATATAGACGACCCCCAATGGGAAAACACGCCCTGTATGATATTCCTAATCAGACACTTTTGACTCCATTTCCACCCAGCCTTTGGTGACCCAGGCCATGTGCCAGGGATAACCGGGACTTTAGACTTTGTCCTTTCAGGATGCACCACATCCTTCATTGGCCATACCCGAAAGATCTGATTTGGAAACCCTGCTAAGTGACCTGGTCTTTAAAGACACCTGTGGCAGATTAAAGGGACTGAACTATTCCCTTGGACTTAAGACTGACTTACATTAGTGTGAGAAGAAGCAGATGACTACTACCTGAAGGTTGTGGGTTTGGAAGTAATCGGACTTTAGTTCAGACCTTTTGCTTTGAGGGTGCCCAATAATTGGCAATCGAAGACTACCATATATTTGCTATTTTTATAACTCTTGGTGTCTTAATTATATGTTTCAGTCCAGCAGCATAGTTCTGCCTTTGTAAATGAGTGTTATTGAAAACTTGGCTCTATCCCCAACCCTCATCTTTTGTGCAGTGTTCAATCACTTAATTTTTACTCTGTACAAGTCAGCAATCCATGTATTTTAGTCTAAAAAGTTGTCCTATGTATGTACACTTTTCTTAAAAGTGTGTTACATTCCATGTTATTGTCTTAATTAGTGATACTATTAATAGAATTACTATATGCCCCAATAGGGATTATTTACAATATTCCCCAATAAAATGATAATGCTATTTCTAACGTGGACCAGGAGGATATATAAACTGTAGCTATATGAATGGTTTTGAGCTCTAAGTTAATCATAAACCCTAGTCTAAGAACAATTAGCCAATGGTACTTGCCCTTATGAAGAAATCACTGAAAATATGGGTGCTATAGCAATGTGTGGTGAAGAAATCAGATGGTACCTGGCTATCAGAAAGATGAGTGCATGGAGTCTAAAAGACATGTCTTTAAAAAAAATTTTTTTATTGACATTTGCTATCTCACACATCATACCATTTGATGGTTCAATCACAGTAAGATTTGTGCAATCATCACCACAATCAATTTCAGAGCATTTTCTTCTACCACTCACTGCTAGTTCCCCACTTGCCCTCATCCTCCCCTTGGCTGGTCCCTAGGCAATGATCAATCCAGTTACTGTCTCTACAGATCTACCTGTAGATCCTGGATTTTCATTTACAGAAAATCATACAAAACACAAACTGGAAGCAAACAAACAACAAATCCCCAACAACAATGACTAAGCATAACATAGAAAATCCTCAATCAGAAAGAAAGCTGAAAATATGAAACACAAATAATTTTTAAATGAGTCAAGGGGAGATGAAATAATAAAGCACTATACATTTATCTAACTACATCTGCCATAATTGACTTTAGGATGCTCTCAGTCTGAACTCGAGACTAGTCACATCCTTTGACTATGATCAGAAAGGATTCACTGCCCCTCATAAAATGATTAAAGAAAAAAAGAGAAAGGATTCACTCATAGCTTAGTCTATGTGGGGCCTGCAAATGCATTTTGCCTTCTGCAAAACAGTTGTTCATAATTTAAGCTCTGATACTATTCCCTCCTTCAGATTTGGATTTTATTATTTACAACCCTTTGGTCACACAACCTGGTGTGCTTCCATGTGGATTTAGATAACACCTTACCTAACTGGCTGTTTGTTTGAAGACAAGCCTTGAAGACCCCAGGTGCTATTCCTTCTGATAGGTGGGCACATCTGGTCTCTTAATTACACTTATTTTCAGTGATCTCTTCATGAGGGTGACCATCAAGCAAGGCCATGTAATAAGAACTAATTGTTTTTAGATTGGGGCTAGACTTAAGTGCAAGACCCAAATCCATTCATGTATCTGGTTTATCTATGTCTCTGGTTCACTTTAGAGATATCATTATCATTTTATGATAGAGAACATTATAAGGTAATTCTACGGATCATGCCTGCTACAGGTGAGTTTGAGTTAAAGCCCAGTTTGCTTAGTCAGGGTTCCACATTGAATCCTTCTAGTGTGGTCTATGAAGATGCTGTGCTCCTGGGAAGGACAGAATCTAGAGGCCCAGTAGCACATGGCCTGAGTCATCAAGCACTGGATAAAAACCAGGCCAAACCAGGCCAACCAGGAACATGGGTACATTCTCCCCTTGGGGTCTATGTAAGTATTAAGTGGTATTTTTCCCCAGGAAGAGTTTGCTCCTCCCAGTTCATCTATCAACACAATTGTAATCACCTTTTACAAGGAATACATGTCCCCTCTCCCCATCTCAACTTGAATTTCCAGTAAGGTTTGCTTGTCACTCTTGTAGGCGTGCCTGTTGATTTGGGATGACCTTACAACAATGGGTGTAACTCAGTCTGATCAGACTCTAATTGAAGGTGGTCAGGACCCTACATTCCAGAAGGGAACTTTTTGGATGTGACATGGAGAACTTTTTCTCTGGACCCCCGAGACAAAACAAAACTAGACTAACCTTACTGCTATGGAGTAGGTTCTGACTCATAGCAACTGTATAGGACAGGGTAGGACTGCCGATGTGGATCCCATCCCTGTACTTCCTTTTCTTTGTGTGTTTTCACTGTACTTCTTTATGAGAGCAGAAAGGCTCATCTGTCTCCCGCGGAGCACTCGTGGGTTTGGACTACTGGATAGTACATATCAAATGCTTGAGTGAAGTCGTGAATAACCACTGCTATGTCCGTTTCAATCTGCACATGAAATACATGGCTCCTTGCCCACAAGTCCTGTACTGCGGAGGTGGCGCAACAAGAGAGGTGTGTGCCTGTGGGCACTTGTAGACACACTCAGGGGCAGTTTCCCATCACCAGGCACCTTTCAAAGACTGGCCCTGTGTCTCCATGACAGGCCTTTGAACTGCTTCTTCCCGGTTTTGTCGTGGCTTCAGAAGCAAACTGACATGGACTCAATTTGGAAAATGTGAGTGAACCAGAATGATCACTGCAGCGGGATGAATTGTGGGTTCACACCGTGCTAGAAACATAACCTCCCTCTTAGGAAAGAAGAGAAGCATGTGTGTTACACAGCAAGCGAATCTGCTCAAAGATGGCAGCCAGCCACATTACTTTGAATGTGTGTTACTTTCCATGGTCCTGGAAATAATGCAATCTCCTACATCAGGCACCTGAAAGGGTTCATTAGACCTCTTCCAAGTTTCCCATTCCACAACTTGGCTGGTAATTTTTCCTACTCAGCTGCCATTCTACTTTAACTAAATTTAAAAGTTGGAGTGTTGTTTTGAGATAGCCTTTTGAATTCATTCAAATCCCTGGTTCTGGGCTCCGGAACAGTAACTGGCACTGA